GCTCATATAGAAAAGGGCAACCACCAGAGCTAGAAGTAGAAAGAAGACCTTTCACAATGATTTAGGACAGAAGCATGCTTGTCTTAGAAATTGTACCCCTTAGTAAATATTAAATGTACCCAACATGGTTGAGTTGAGTCGGGGTTAATGAGGTGATGTAAGTAATATTTTTAGCCATCTAATTAAACATTTATGGGTTTGATCCTGAGGCTGTCTTTTCTGAATCTGAGGGGGCTTTTCCCACATCGTGATTTTTTGGAGATTCTGCCTAGGTTCATTTGATGAAGAACCGAGGCGAAAGTTATTTTAGGATATTGTACATAAATCCTGAGCAGAGGTTGGCATTGAAGCATATGTAGGAGAAATTAGGACATTTAGGATACAGAAGCAAGTGGGATTATGGTTCTTTGGGATGACAGCTAATGAATGGTCCTGGGAACTGGGAGGAACATGGAAGACAAAACTGGCCTCCCTAGTTCCAACACCAAAGATTCTTCACAGTAAAAAAGTCAGGTGCTGGGAAGATCAGCCACTGCTCAAGTCTTTGTGAGATGCCTTTTGGAGAAAATGAATATATGTTAAGACTGTTCTCTAACTCGGGCACTCTGTATGTATCCTATCGCAAGCCCTAGAAAGCCTATTTTCTAAATGAGTATATGGAGGCTAGTAGGTGTGAAATTGTTCACCTAAGACCAGAGAGTTGGTCTGGGACAGAGCCAAGAGGAGTATCTTATACTTCATTGTTTTTCGTTTTCTGTGTTCTTTTGGCTTATATTGTGTCTCAAAGGAAGGTCACAAAGCTAGGCGCTGCTGCCTCATGCCTGTATTCCTGGCTACTCAGGAGGCTGAGATCTGAGGATCACAATTCAAAGCCAACCTAGGCAGGAAAATCTGTGAGACTCTTATTTCCAATGACCTACCAGGAAAACCTGGAAGTTCAGGGATGGCACCTAGGCCCTGTGCAGCCAGCAAAAAGAAGAAGAAGAAGAAGAAGAAGAAGAAGAAGAAGAGGAGGAGGAGGAGGAG